GTTAAATCCATAGCATATCAAAAAAGATTAAAAAATTAAACTAGTATTTGAATGGCGTCTAAAGAAATATAGAACTATACAAACTTACGCAATCTGAAATCAGTGCATACGCTAGATTTGGCGCGCTGTTAAATGGGCCCGTTTGCTAGATTTGGCGCTTTTGCGCATACATTTTCGCTGCAATTTTTTTACGGTCCTCAAAATGGAATAGCACCAACTGCTGTAATAAAAACAGCCTGCAAAAATAATTCAGTTGGATCAAACCAGAAAGTTAAGAAACAACACAATCTACTAATTGGCTGAAATTCCTTAGAATCAGTAAAGCATAATTTTAGCCTACCTTAATAGCATCGGGTGCCTATGTATCATGATATCAGCGACGAAAAACAAGTTGTTCTGTTGAATTTTGTCTTGTTTCTATTGTGCACTGAGACAATTAAGCCAGATTGTATTAGTTTAATTATTTATTATGGTTACGTCTATTTTTTGCACATGATTATCTGAATCTCGAATAAGTAAATTTCCACATATACTTAAGGATTATTCAGTGCCGGTGCTAGGGTTTCTACCTCTCCCGGAATTGAGTCCTGAAAATTAAAATTTCCTGGCTCCCAGAAGGAATTTAAAATAAATACAGTCAAAAGTCGTTAATTCGGACACCCATAATCCGGACCTCAAAGCTAAAAACTTTCTGCGCATGCGTTGCGCTGGCACATGCGCACAGGCATTTTACGCGTGCGCGTAAGACCTTGACTACTGCGCATATGCGTGTACGCAAGTGCAGAATACGTTTTCGCCTGCACGTTTAATGTATAACGGACGGTGTAAGCTAAAATTATCTAATTATCTATTTCAGTTAATGTTAATGATTGCGTTGTTCCTTAATCTTCGAATTGGATCCTGCTTATTATTTTTTGCAGACTGTAAGAGCAATTTTATAAAAATAAACTTGAACTTTCGATTATGTCAAATAGAATTTCCGATGCTGGAACTTCCAAAGGATCTACAAAACAAAAGTATGTTTCAATGTCTAACAAACAAAAAGTGGAATTGCTGCAAAAAATGGATAAAGACATGAAGAACGTGTCAGAGAGGTTAGTGAAAACGAAAAAATTTTGATTGACAAGTTAGTCGGTATTCTCGGCACAGCAATTAACGGGACTTGAACAGCGGGACTTTGTAATTGAACAAGAAATTATGTCTGTTTATAGAATTAAAGAGAAAGTATTATCACATAAAATGAAGCAACTTAAACAACTTACATTGAAAGAAATGTTTAATAAAGTAAACAAATAAATATTAAGCTTTTTTTTTTTGTAAATTTTGATACCTTTTAGATCATAATTGTTCTTTATTTCATAAATTACATTTCATATTTTTAATTTTATAATTTCTGCATGCCATCTTACGAGATTTAAACTGATGATCTATAATCCGGAAAAATCGATAATCTGGAGTCGCCGAAGTCCCGACGAGTCTGGATTAACGACTTTTGACTGTATTACTCTCCCGGAATATCAAGTTTCTCGAAAATAACGACACAATGTGCACGGACGAAACGGTTGAGAATGGCATCGAAAATCACACGACCACGCACAGCAGTCAAAGAACATCTACGTCATTACATATTCTTTGTAGGAGCAATCTACGGTGAGTAAGCGCCTTATGGGATGAGTCATGGTTTCATGGCAGCGTATCGCGCGTACGCGCCCTCATCTTCCCTCACCCTCTCATTTTCAATCCATTCTTTCATTTAATCTGCAGTTAGCTAGCTATCCACAAACAAGTGCGGATTTGAAATTATTTAATATGATAATGATATGTAGTGAAAAAATGATTCTGATTTTGCAAGTGAACAAGTACCACAAAAAAAAGGGGGAACAAAATATTCGATATTGTTTTAAGACAGATGGATAACTCAATTTGATTACTTTATGAAGAAAGACAACTTTAATGAAGAATGTAAAGTACGTCAGAAAATGGTTAATATTAAGTACGAGGATGTTAGAGCTTTAACTGTACATTCCCAAAGCAAGAAACACGAGTCGTTAATATTAAATAGGGATTCTTCGCAATTGGTTTCGAACTTTTCATGAAGAAATCTTCAGAAGAAGAGGACAATATATCACCAATTGAACTTATTTCAGTCTATCATAGGATAGTAGCATCTCCATTCTGTGGGCCTTATGCTTCACACACATGCAATACACATTTTTTCAGCACAGCAACCTTCGTCGACTGGTGACGAATGTAAACTTCAGGCATGCATTATAAACTGCTAAGCTTAGGGAACTGCAGATCTTTAATTGAAATACATATATCATGAAAGTTTTTGAAATGGTTCAGTAATTCTGCATTTGTAGATGCAAAATCGCATAACAGGTACTTCTGCTTGCATTTGTAACTTTTACTATCTCCTGAGAGTTTAGATGCCTCATTTTTACCATGTTATGTGCACGAAGCAGGTTTTGTTTTGAAAAAACTTCCTCACAATCATCACATGTAAATTTGCGAGCAGTTCTTCGTATAGGCGTTAATTCCTCTAATTTCGAAGGATGGCACTTAAAAATATACACTCGTAGATTTCGTCAGAATGAATAGAACTTCGAACATTCCAAACACAAAAAATTTCTTCCATAATAATCACACTAAATAAGACACAAGTAAACCGGTAATTCAAGGTTAAGTCTAGTGTGACAATATTTAACGGAACAACATTAATCGCCAATCTTATGACATATCGCCAAAAGTGTATAACAGATGCCAGCCTATTACGCTAACGAATCGTATCACTGCGCATGCATGATACATAAGCCCCACAGATTGCAGATGCTACTTCATAGGATTAAGCACCATCACACTTTTAATAGCCAGGATTGCACAAATTGTATAGCACTCTATTTCCAGATTCCTCTTTGCCAAATATGATTTCTTGTGGTAGAGCAAAATGTACAAGTATTTGCGAGAGTGTGCTTGCTCCTACAGCTCAAAAAATATTTTTAAACGAGATTAAGAAGGAAGAGTTTTTTTTTTCCCTTCTCCCGGAAACCTATTTTCTTTCCCGGATTTTGACAGCCAATAGGTGGCAACGATAGCCGGTGCTGATACCGCCTGATGTAGCCTCTGTATGTCCTAAATTCTGCTAGCGACTCCATAAGTTCTAAATTTTTGCGGCCCTTAAATTTTGGATCCCAGTGTTTTCCCTAAATTCTACAAATATTTTCATCCTTTAACTTTGTTGCTTGGTGCTTCTCTAAATTCCAAACATCTTGTCTTCCTTAAATTCTGCCACCGGTTCTGGGTTTATGATGAACAAATCAGTTATTCTTAATTCAAATAGCACTAAATATAATCTTTTGGCCTATGAGTATCATTAACAAAAAGTATTTTTAGCACATGGAAAGAAATTTTTGTTGAATTTTCCCTCCTTAATATTTCTTAGTGCATTTAACATAAATCTGTAATCATTGCCAAGAGTAAGAATTTCAACACAGAATGTTACCTCACTCTTTGGACTAATATAAAAAAATTGTTTGAGCATCGCTGCATGAGTCATTACACAAGTGGTTGTGTGTTGATAAACATGCGGCAATGAAAGCAAAATATAATAAATAATGATTCGACAGGTTGGTGTCAGGGATGTAATATATTAGTAGGCGTAAAATTAACAATGTTTCTATCTAGAATGTTTCAGTTTGAGATGCATGCCAAGCAGATACGCAGCTATGGAGCCAAATTATTGATCACACAAATTTATGCTAAATTATTGTTTCTTCAATAAGGAAATATTTATTTAGTGGGGAAGGGACAGAACTCTAAACATGTTTTATTTACAGGAGGGGGGGAATTAAATGTGCATGCGTAAGGCATTTTAAAAAAAAAAAAGTTGTAGGCAGTTTTGAGGTTCGGATTTTAGATCATTCCGGATATTGGACGTCCGAATCTTGGACTTTGTACTGTATAAGTCTATCAGTTATGTTATCAAATTACGTTTTTTTTCAGTTTCACTTGATTTTTCAATTAACACAAGTATAAATCTTTCTGGATGAACAATACTCGATTCAAATAAGGAAAAAACTTCTTTGATGGTAATGAAACTTTATACTAACAGTGAAAAACTAACTGAAAATACACCTTCCCACATTTAAATTAAAAAAAAAAAAAAATTCGTATAGTTATACTCTTTTATGTTGCAAATACTATAATGTTACATATATAATTTGATGTCCATATGATAATGTATGTAAACAACAAACAAAACGATTCAATCGCGCCATTAACTATATTAAAATATCACATATTTTAAAATTAAATTAAAATAAGTATGAATAGTTGACTCATAAAGACTGTTATAAAATTTAACATAACATTGTCTAACAAGTTCATTAATATGACACATAAAGAAGTAAGCTTATGTGAATGATCTTTAGTAAATAATAGGAACGATGCCGAAAAAATAATTTTGTCAATAATGTCTCTTATTACTACTCTGAATTTTAAACATGCCTTAATAGTTGAAAAAACGTTAATCTTTTCTTAATGCTACATGTTCTGTAACTTAGCAACATAATTTGGTGTTCATTAACAATATAAAACTGCCTCTCGAAATCAATGGCTCAGGAATAAAATTTCTTAGATTATGTAATAACTAAAATATACCTTTCGTTTATAAAAACTGCGCATTTTCTAAACTTCCAATCATTAGAGTATTTCTCCCAAGACTGTTTAATAGGGAAGTTCAGAATTTGAGAGATATAAAAACCGATAACAAAAAAAAAAAAAAAAAAAAATCTTTACTTTATTCTATGATACAGAATTTCATGATGCATTTAATGAGAATCTTCTGTTACTGTCAATTAAAGTGGCAACTATGCATTAAACTTCAGTAAAATACACTTCAGGATTCTGCAAACTGCAACTTATTGTGATCAGTATATATTTTTATATTTATCAAAAATATATACCTTAGACAGAAGTTAAAAACTACTACAAGGCGTTACCTTTGCTAAGTTTTCATACTGCAATTGTCCGTATCACCCATAGTGAAGAATGAAAACAATAACAATTTAAATATACGACACTACGCACACAGGCTCACTCGTACACATTTCAAGTCTCAGTAGAATTTACTTTTCTCTCAGTGTTGCCAAACTGTAAAATTTGATTTTCGAAACTCTATTTCTGGATCAGGACCAAACTCTGTTCTCCGAAGAATATCTAAAATGAAATATGTTGCTTCTTCGAGTGACTGGAGTACCTAGTCTGTGGCGATCTACCTTCATCGAGTAAATAAAACTTTCAAATGTACTCCGAAGTAACAGAGATGGATTTAAGTAATCAATCTGTTGGAGCAATACAATTTTTTACAATAAAATTTCTTTTAATCCTGTGGTTTAGCTCAATAAATACAGACAGAAAGTGTGTTCTTTAAGAGACCAGTTGCTAAAGTGGGAATTTGACTTTATTGAACACATTTAAACGAGCAGGAAATACCTCAGACCATGAAAAAAAGTAGACAGACAGACAAAGAATATGGAGATAGACAGACAGACAAAGTAGACAGGAGTCCTGTTAAACTCACGCCTAAACGGATGGCAAGTTCAGTTGCATCTTGCTTTTAGTCTACATTTTACCCTTAGTTCCAACACAAATTTTGAGCCCAGCTTACATGAGTTAGCCTAAAGAGATTAATCTTCTGCTCCTCCTTCTCGAGTTTCTTACAATTTTCAGTAATAAGCTGTTTATCGAGTCCTTAAATAACTCCCCCTCATTATCACTCGCATCTAGAGGCCAAAACCTAACACTATCCTCAGCTAGAGCTACTAGAGATATATATCCTCAGCTATAGCCCAACTTCAACAAGTTAATTTCAGATTTCTTGACCATTTCAGACCATTCAAAAACTTGTTAGGAAACAAAACCCTCATCCTTTATAAATTCGCTAAACGTATTGACAAAATCATTGGCGTCAACTTTATCAACACTGTTGTAGGGGCATCGAGAGTCACTCAGTGCTCTCAAATTTGAAAGATTCGGAATTCTTGAATCTCGCGCGCGGGAACTCTTTTGCGTTAGTGGTAGATAATTCGACTCGCATGAAACAGGTTCCTATCCCCAGGGTCACTATCACCTTCAAAGGCCTGCAAAACACGTGCGCTGCAGCACTTCTTATTTCTCATTGATGCTAATAGGTAAGGAAACGAGAAGCAAGCACATACCAATCAGCTACAATATCAGAAGCGTATTTCCAAACCCTACCCCACTTTTCGAATTTTTGACGTCATGGACAAATCGACTAGTTTCGCCTCGATGGTAATTCTTGAGCATGCGCTGAAGGGCGAGAAGTAACATAAATCCCTTGCATAAACAGAACTTTGGCTTGCACTTGTAAACAGTATTAAGTATATTGTCTGAAAGTGCATTCGTTTATGTAATTGCATAATTTGACTGTTTCTGTAATAAGAAAACTTCATTCCGATAAAATTTATTTTAATGTTATTATTATCTGGTAATAGGATTATACGAAATGCTGAATACTCTTGGTACTATCATAATCATCGCATAACCTTTCACATTGTATTTTGCGTTATAATTGTAAAATATATTGTATTATAAAGATTAAATTACTTTGTTAGAAATGTGAATGTTCTAACTTAATTTTCTTTTTATCACTTATTTATTTTCGCTTTGAAAACACATTCATATTTGACTAATAATTATCTCCTCTGAAAATTTTTTGATTGTTTAAAAACTATATTTGTCAATAATGTAATAAAAACTCACTAATCTAGTGCTTCATGGATCAATATGACAACGAATTCGAAATGTTTTAAAAACAGTTCTTTAATCTTTAGTTTGTAGTAGATGCAACTAATGTCACAGAGAAAAAATATTTCAATAAAAAAGTTCTCCATGTTAATTCAATAGCAAAATTATTTCTATTTCAGTGAGAAATCCACTTTCAATGCTTATATAACAGAAAAATGTAACATAAGCATTTTAGAAATTTTAAATATAAGCTATACAATTTTATGTAAGAAACGTAATAATTTACTTTCGATCCTTTTAAATCGGCATATTTGTTTCCAATAGATAACTGAAATTTTTGACAAGTTACAGACTTAACTTTAACACAGAGTTCCATCACTTAAAATATCAATTAATTGTTCTTTTTCATTTAGAGATACATTGGAATTGAAGGTACTTACGTATTAACGCAACCAGGCCAAAATTCGCATAAATCGCCAAATTTGGCGACCCTACTTACGGCAACCCTACGTGTTATATGTAGTTTTTCGTAAAGAAATTATTTTTCTTACTGGTTAGATTGAATGCCCTGAAATACTTTAATTACTTTTTTGGTTACTGTACCTAACAGAAGCGCCGTTACCCTCATGGAAAAAATTTGTGAAAATATCAAGGAAGGAAGCATCATTTATTTAGATTGCTGGAAAGGATACAATACAAGTGAGTTCGAAAATGCTGGATTTCTGTATGGAACTGTTAATCACAAATATAACTTTGTGGATCCCAACACGGGCGTTCACACACAACATGTAGAGTGCATGTGGGGCTCAGCCAAATGGCGCAACAAAAAACAGAGAGGAACAGCCCGTCATCATCGTGACTCATACCTTATCGAATTTATATGGCGCCAAGCTCAAGCTGTTAATGGTGATGACGGTTTTCAATCAGTGCTAAAAGCAATAGCCAAAAGATTTCTGCCGAAAAAATAATTCTGCAACTTATTCAAATTCGAAACCGGAAGGGTTTAATTGCTATTTTATATTTTAAAACAAAATATTATAAAAAACTGTATTAAAAATTATCTGTAATTAATAAATGTACATTTTCTTATTATTCATACTTTTTTACTCAAACTTACAAATCGCGCCAACCTGGTTGCGATAATACGTAAGTACCGAATTGAAAATACCAAAGGCAAAATGGGTCACAAAATTTCTGTCAGTTTTATCATATGTTGTTTTAAACAAGAAATCTGTATTATTTTCTTTAGTAAATTCTGAAAAACATGTTTCTGTTGTTTTAGTTCAATTCTCCTTGCCAAAGTATTAGCTTAGTTTTAAAAGTTTCAATATTGGTGCTCATTATTAAAATGCTTAGGTTTTTAGAAAATGTCTACTATGTAACTGAGTTTTCCTAATTAATCATTATTAATGAATGAACTTGCTGATGTATGTTTCTTTTCTTCCGAAAATATGTAAACTGTATTTCTCAAATCGAAAATATGTCTTGCTATTTTTCTGTGTGAAAGCCAACTGACTTTGGTAATAATGTCTCATATACAGAACTTATCTAATTACATTGCATTAAAAAGAGACAGCTGTTTAGGATTTTGCCTTTTAATGTAATTAATTGCAGTAATAACCCTGCAATATCATGTCCAATTCTTCATCAGTTGGCAACAAGATATTTTTTATGTGTCATACAGTGATGGAATATTATATGGGGAGCAATTTTCATTATTAACCCTCTTAGTCCTTTATAATTACCTGTTAATGCTGCAGCATCATTGGTACAAACTGCGACACAGAGTGTCTAGGTAAGATTATTTGTTTCAAAATGTCTGTCAATAATTTGAAATATTTTCTCTCCAGTTGCTTTTCCTTTCCAAATATTACAACATAAAAAATATCTACTGTGTCGTCTTCAAAAATGTATCTCAGATAAACGATGAATTGAGACATTTTTATAATGTCGGTAGCTTCATCAAGTTTTATAGTAAAGACTGGATTTTGTATTCTATAATGTCTGATATTACAGAAATTTGGTGAGAAACGGTATCTTTTTTTAATGCTATTCTTTTTAAATCATTACTTTATTTTTCTGCATGCATAAATGATGTTATTTTAATTGCTGAAGGAAGAATGAGTGATTCTCCAATTGTATGAGGTTTTAAATTTTTTGCAATTAAATATGAAACTTTTAAGATGCCTGTAAATCTTCTCAGGAACTGTTGTATATTTTTTCAAAAATATATTTTAATTTTTCATGCTCTTAGCTCATTCCTTAAAAAAATTCTTCAGATTTATTTACTTAATCTTTATGTTTAGTTTCTGAGGTACTTTCCGTTTCACTGGCGCAAATTTCGCCAAGCAGACTTTGTTGTCGACAACATACAATATACACATAAAAAATTTTAACAAACGTTAGTTTTAAGAATTTTTTATTTTGAAGGCATAAACATTTTAATACCTTTTAAAATTTTGTAAAAAAAGCCAATAAATAAAGACAATAAATTTGTGAAAAGACATTAAGAATTTACTATGTTTTCATGTTTCAACATCCTGATTTGTCGGTTCGCATCACGTGATCTCATCTCACGTAAACTACGCTACAAAAATCTAATTCTCTCAGTAATTATCTACATTAATGACAAATTAAATCCTTATTTGGAATGCAAATTTAAATGCAAGAATTATTTCAATTCGTATGAATAGTTTATTCAGAAATTACGTAAAACCACAGTGCTTTACTTCGCTAGTCCATTCTCATTAGAATTGATGAATTTGACCCGTGATTTTGTCTTTTCTATATTTTCGCCTTCGGATGAGCGGTGTGATTGCATTCTAATTGACTTAATTACCATGAATGGTCTTAGAGCATAAAATTTAACTATCTTGTACAAATTCTATGTAATTGTATGCCAGTACAGTCAATCTGATAAGAAATGGCTGCAACTTGTTTTGAAAATGAGGCGTAAAAGGTTGCCAGTGAAGGTATTCTGTTTGGCATCAGTTGTACCATTGTTGGCAGCTTTATCGTTTGCACCGGCAAAACGGAAAAGTACCGTTTCTAAATGTGTTTTTAATTTCGCAGGTTTCATACTTTCCATGTGCCAAGTTTTCACTGCATTGAACACACAATGGATATTCATTTTCCATTAATAATGCGACATGTAAAACAGTATAAAATAAACTCTTCTTGATATTTACTCAATTTTTTTAGAAGTAGAAAGAGAGCCATTGGATTCATTATTGTTTGCATTTTCATTAATAGTTTTTCTCTAAGTTTATTTGATGTTGGTCCATCCATCCCATTTCTCTTGTGAACATCGGGTATCTATTTTGGGCCATTTAACCATCATGAACAAAATTGTTTTTATTATCCTTTGAGACACTACTGAAT